CCCCCCCCGGCTGTTCTCAGTGAGGTGGTGACAAAGGGGTTGCCTGTCTTTTGTTTTCTCTTTGTCCTCTAAATGGACAGATCTTCCGCAAGTCATCTCATTGCAAGAGGAATTATGGCTGAACAATGATAACGATGATAATCTTTTTATACTGGTTTTCATCCAATCTCAAAACAGTCTCTAAAAGAGATAATTGCAATCATGCACACATTGAGTTACACTGCAGCAATTGGTTCCCAAGGACACCCAGAAGCCCAAAGGGAGAGATTTTTTCTAAAGACAATACCATATTTATTAGTGAAAACACTGTCATGGTTTAACCCCAGCCAGCAGCTAAGCACCACGCAGCCACTCACTCACTCCCCCCCCCCACCCAGTGGGATGGGGGGGAAAGTCGGGAAAAGAAGTAAAACTCGTGGGTTGAGATAAGAACGGTTTAATAGTACAGAAAAGAAGAAACTAATAATGATAATGGTAACACTAATAAAATGACAACAGCAATAATGAAAGGATTGGAATGTACAAATTATGCGCAGGGCAATTGCTCACCACCCGCCGACCGACACCCAGTTAGTCCCTAAGTGGCGATTCCCTGCCCCCACTCCCCCCAGTTCCTATACTAGATGTGACGTCGCACAGTATGGAATTCCCCGTTGGCCAGTTTGGGTCAGCTGCCCTGGCTGTGTCCTGTGACAACTTCTTGTGCCCCTCCAGCTTTCTTGCTGGCTGGGCATGAGAAGCTGAAAAATGCTTGACTTTAGACTAAACACTACTGAGCAACAACTGAAAACATCAGTGTTATCAACATTCTTTGCATACTGAACTCAAAACATAACACTGTACCAGCTACTAGGAAGACAATTAACTCTATCCCAGCTGAAAACCAGGAAAAACACTCAACCAAGAAAGAGAGAAAAACGCTTGCTATATGCTTCTAGGCCCAATACACTGTGTTCTGATGTTTTGTCAATCAGGTATGAGTAGCTCTGTGCACTGCAGGTTTTATACATGGGTAGATTCCAGAATAGTGCTTATCTTGGCAGTGCATGTTAATATATGGAGTGTAGAAGTAATATTCCAACTTTCAGATATATTAGAAGGATTTTATTTATAGTTGATCTACACTCCTCACATGTTACACATACTCATAGTGTAAAAATATTTTGAATAATATTTACAACCTTTGTATCTGATACAAAGAAACATCTTTTCATCTAAAAGGTATTTACAGTTTTAGCAGGAGTTTACTTAAACATTCAAAAAGGGAAGTAGAACAACTATTTAGGCTTAAAAAGTGGAAGATGTTGAACTTAAATTGTAAGTAGCCTATACTTGTCCTATTAAAACAAATGTAGAAAGTGGTTTAAGAATTTTTGTGTGCTCAAATGGAAAATTAATAAGTAACTTATCAGCTTCTGCAAACGGGTGAAAATGGAAACAAATAATTAAATGAGGTGGAGCCAACTAGCAGCATGTAGAACTTGAAGCCATCTCATTTAATAAAACTTGATTATCTTGAGTTAATCAAACGTAATCTTTAGTACCTTGCTTACGTCAACTGAATTTATTTGAACTGAAACTGCATAATTGCTTCTGTCACTTCAATAAACACTTTTGATTGGGATAATAGATGTAAAGTACTTAAGTACTTGAATGTGTTGCAATGGATCGTGTCCAGAAATAGGCTAACTGTATTCTCTGAAGGATTATCATGTCATGCGCCACAGTTTTTTTTAGCGTTTGGTTCAGAAGATCAAGTTGTCAACATTGTCATGTCTTTATGACAAGGTTCTTTTCTAAAATGTATACTGATTGTCTGTTTTCTTTGGATATTTTGTTTCGGACTTGTAACTATCAAAACAACTTTAAAGGCCCATATGTCACAACACAAAAGATGCCTTTATTATCTTTTCCTTACATAAATCTTTATATATCTGCCAAAAATTAGAAAAACTGACTTGCAAACTGGTTCTTGGGCAGCAGTAATTTGTTTTGACATAAGCTTTGGACTTCAAAGCAAACGCATTTCCAACAACATGATGTACGTAAGATATTAAAAGTGGCTGGGTAACCACAGTAGTTGCACTTCTTTAGCTTCTGCTTGCGTTTTGCACAGAGGTTTAGGCAAAAGGAAAGAAAAGAGGAAAAAAGGATTGGTCTGATTACTTTTGACAGTTGTTCAATGAAACTATAATTTTAACTTTCAGAATATGTCAGTATAATGATACATTGTGGATATAAGTTTCTTATTTCAACTTCTTCCTGCATCCTTCTGTAATAAACATATGCAAATTATTCTTTATAAATTGGACAAATATAATTTATCTTTCTGGGTTCTCACAGGAAAAATGTCCTTTCTTTTGATTGTATTACTTAAATAAAAATGCATCAACTAAAACGAGCTAACTATTTTTTTTTTTCATCCCTATTCTATTCAGTGTCTTTTTCTTCGGAGCCGTCCTTGTAATAGCAGCTACTTTCCTATACGGTTATGATCCCAAACCTGCAGGAAATCCCATTAAGGCATAGCAGACTTCCTCATCAACCTGCTTCTCAAGATCATGCACTGGGGGCCTTGCTAACAATGGCATGTGGAAAGTGTCATTGTGCACTGCAGGCAAAGGATTACTACCCTGAATCTACTGAAAAAATGTTTATGACTAGTTTTGAACAGCCAGAGGGGTGGATGATGATACTGTCTGTAACTAATGAGAAAAAAAATGGCAGGGGAATGCCCAGTGCAACTTGCTAATAAAAACTTGAAAGGAACAAAAAGTTCCCAAGAAACTGCAATTAGGAATGTTTACAGCTTTGACTGGGATTGCATTAAAAGAATTTACTGTATTGACTGCTGCAGAAATATGTCCTATGCACTCTTTGAAAGAGCACATGACAACATTGTCAGATTGTATGTTTTTGCAATTTGACTATATTTAATCTTAGTAAATATGTTTTTAACTGTCTATTTACATGAAATCAGCTGAATATACATCGTAGTTCTGAGGTGATGGTTCTAATTAGGTATTCCTTGTTAAAACTGTGAAGATTGAAGTATGATTGAAAGACTTTCACAATAGCAAATATTTTTATATTTTTAGAAGGCTGATTTAATAACAGAAATCTGTTATTAAATTATAATATTATAATTCTGTTGCTTATATAAAACTATTGTAAGAATGTTAACATTCTCACTTAAGTACACGAAGGGAGAAATTCAGAGTGAAATCTGGAAATCTGTGTTGATACTCCAGCCTTCATCAGGATAGCCTGTAGTGTTCCAACAGGTGCGCTAACTCTGTGAACACAGCCAGAGGTTACTACACTAACCTGGCACTAAGATTAGGGTTATGATGGAGTGCTTGTTCAGATGTATTGTCATTCTTTTTATTTTTATTGATTATAAATTGACTTTTTGGTAGAACCTTTAAGGTAGTTTTTATGCTTTAAATATCATCTGGGGATTTTTTTAACCAGCATTTAAAAAAAAAAGCCCATAATAAACATTTTAAATGCATTATTGTTGTCTGTAACAGCTCCATCTGGCGCTATTGTGGTATATCATCTATATACTGTACTGTACTTTATTACAGAGGTGTTTTTTAAACAAGTGTTGTTTACTCATGAACTCTGCAAGGCTTTTTCAGTACATTTCTATGTAATGGCTTAATTAGAGGTTTGGGTTTTTTTATTATTATTACTATTACTATTATTTTGCTCTGGGAGTCCTTGAGCCAACAGACCAAAATGGGTTCTCTGGAGCTATTCAGTCTAGTAGTGGAATGACTTTAATAGGAAGCATAATGAAAATGTAATTAATTGTGCAATAGGTAAATGTAAAAGCATGCTGTTGTTCTGTTTTAAACCAAAAAAAAAAAAATTCACAAAGAAACTAGATGCAATTAGAACTTACATCAGTTAGACTGTTACAAACACTTCACTTGTTGAAGTATTTGCATATAGCCAGAAACACCAAAAAAAATGCTAGAACTAATAAACAAAAAAAGCTGTCTTAAAAATCATTTGTTTTCAGGAGACATATTCACAATGGATATTAAAGTAGAGCGACTTCTTATCCACATTACAGTTGTATACATTTATACAAAAACATATTAATAGTCTCTTACCTGTAGAATGGCAAGTGGTAAAAACATATAATTTCCTCCCCCTCCCCCCCCCATGCTCTTTCTCACTTCTGTCTTGTACTAAAAAACACATTGTGAAGAGAGAGATGTTTTAAAATGTTTACCAAAGTACCTCATTCTCTTTTCCACGTTTTAGTGGTGGATTAACAAGGAGATTCTGTAAGAGTGCTCTGAGATTTTTTTAATGAAGTATTGTAAATGGGAAAGGAAAAATTCTGCTTACATCAGCCAAGCAAAAATAGTGGTTTCCTTCTGTTGGCAATGACATGGATTATCAACTTTTTTTTGTTTATCGTATCAGAGCAAAACATTAAAGAAATTTCAGAGTTATGCCAAGGGCTTGCTAAGCTTTGTGAACTGTGAATCTATCCCAGTGTGCAGTAACTGCAGGATCTCTGCTACTTGGTCGTCAAACCTATCTCATATTACCCTAAATTGGCATTCTGTGTTAATATTAAAACTTTTATCTATAACACTCAGTGTGGCAAAATCTTTGAAAAATTACATTTAGTCGTTTCACCACTGAAATACAACATGAGGTAGGATGTATGCGTAGAGCAGTGGCTCGCAGCATTACTTAAGTGTAGAATGAGAAGTGCATGACTGAAATGATCTGAGAAGTGTTGGTAGTAATATCTGAGTTGGAGTTTGGCCCACACAATAGTACTTTTAATTTCATGAATCACAGTAGTGGAAATGTTCAGGTGATATAGTTGGTTCCTTCCTTGGGGAATTTCTGCAAAAAACAGAAGCAGCAGGTTGAGAACACTTTAAAGCCAGTTGCACGGGAAGGGACCAAACAGGCCAGATAATCACCACATTGCTGGAGTTCTGTTACATATAACACAGTTTTAATGTTCCAGGTGCACCTGTCAATATTTGTCAATAAGGATCAGTTTAAAGGAAAGAACAGGAACATGTGCTCTTTGCTTTTGGATGGGATGTTATACAGCTTTAGAAAACAGTACATCTACTGTACTAAGGAACAATAACTCCTGTCTGTAGATCAGTGACTCTTCTATGCTTTCAATTGACAGGTCCATGAAAATTTCCAATAGAGGGTTAGATCTCTTCATATACTTGTTGCTGTAAAGGAAATATGAATTTGCATTTCTAGCTGTCTTTCCTAAGCCCTTTACAGGCTAAGGAAAGACTCTTGTCTGAGGCCCTCCGGGTTGAAATGCATTATTCCAGACAGAGGGAAGACAGCATATGTTTCTTGAGAACAGAAAGGATTTGAAGAGGGTTTACTGATTTCTGTAACCTTTGCAATCTGAGAGCATATGCACATTTTCTTATCGAGATACTTTTGTATCTGGATTTTAAAACAAAAAAAACGCTAAACAAACAAAGACAGTTTTAAGTCTATAACTTGTTAACTAACCAAAGAAACATAGCTAGTACAGAGTATTGGGAAGTAGAGAATAGTGTGCTTTGAGTTTGCCCTAAAAGCAATCTGTAGGAGTCTAACTTTCCAAAAATAAACTTGTCTTTCTGAACTATTTTTCTGACTTTTAGACAATGGATTTGTTAGTTTAGTTGTATATTTAGGAGGCTAACCTATACTTAGGATAATTTTATTTAAATATTTATAAAGTTATAGCTAGGTATTTATTTGCAATAACTTGAATTATGTGATTTTTTTTTAAGACTTGCATAATAGGAGTACTAGTATTTATTGAATACTTGGGTATTTGGTAGTTTTCTTTGAGAATCTCTGGGATACATGATAAATGGTCAAATAACAATAAACTTAGAACTATTTTCAAAGCAAAATAAATCAGTTCAGTGGTGAAAACTCTTGAGTCTAATAAAGCAAGATAAACTTTTCCTTAAACATTGTATTTCTGTGCTATCCATAAGTGCCCAATAATCTTTTTTCTCAAAGAATTCTGATAATTTTATAGTTCTATTCAACTTCTTTGTTTTAGACAAACTATAAGAAAACTTCCCTTTTTGTTTGCTTTAGTAATGAGTAGATTAATGTACTAGATCCAGCTTATACAAGATAACACCTTGGATTTTTTACTGCAACTTCTTAGAAACTATTTATTTTTCCTCAAAAAAGCAATCATTTTGGTAGCATATGTTTGTGTTTCAGTTACTCATACAGTCCTCTCTCAGATTTTTAGAAGTATGTAATTGTTTTATGTTCCTAACTTATTTTTACGGCTGTAATTCAAAAGACTGTAATGGATTTTGTTAAATTGTTTTAAAATTGATAAATGAAATGTTGCATTTCTTCTGGTTTTCGTTGTCAGTAACTTTCATATTTTAATATATTTCCTTATTGGCTATGCATGTTCTGTTGTATTTAAGCAATCATTATTTCCCAAATTTGAAGTTGTTGCTCATTTTTCTCCTGGTGACTGTTTCTTGCTGGATATTGTGAATGAGGAAGATTATTCATTGTTTTCTTCTCTGAAATCCATGATTTATAAGAATGAGATATTAAAAAAACATTAAGGGGTTTTTTTGTGTATTAGAAAGGTAATGTCTATCTATGACATGGTATTATACTATGTATGTGGTAGTGTATATCTACTGTACTAAGGAACATCTGTGGTGTTCAGTTATTGTAAGAAAGTCCAAGTGTTTTCTTGCCTTTGTTTTCATTGTTCTATTCATTTTTAATGCTGATTATTTTCCACAGGAAGTTACTAAAGAGTTCTGCTCTTTCCAGGTAAGCTCATGATATGTTTTTATATATCTAGAATTAAGATATTTTTACTGGAAAAAATGAAGGGGAAAGTGCAACAAAATAAGTGGGATTAATTAGATTATATCTTCTGCTCCGGTTACTGTGAATCCAAATTTCTGTTCAGTTAAATTTCTAACTTTTTCTAATTATTTCCCGCTAATTGAATTTATAACTCTTTAAAGAAGCGAAAAAAAAAAAAATCTGTCGAGGTGCCGTTCAATGCTCATTGTTGAATGTCTGCAGCATATTTGCATTCAAGAGTAGACGACATTTTTAACTCTTGCCTTCAACCTTCCATCATTATTCTGACTGTAATTAGCCATATTAATTTCACTAGCAATTTATAGCTCAGTAAGAATTGTTTATATGCTAAGCATATGTTTATATTTGCTGCCATGAGTAACACTTTTTTAGATTTTTAAAAGTTTGTCTTTATTGTCAATGTATTTTAAATTTCACTTTAAATATATGACCCCAAATAGAAATCATATATTCAAAGATTGTAGAAAAATTTTTAAGGTGGTCTTAGGATTTTTTTTATATGTTGAAATTTGTGTGTGATTACACTGAATACAGCTCTAATATATGGTGTTTCCAGGCAGTTTGGAAACAGGTTATTTTTCTGGTATAACACTACTGAATGATGGAATGCATCTTACATGACCTAATACAGTCTTTTTTTAATCCATATTGAGGTAAAATACTGTATTTTTTTTCTCCTTTATGTGTAGGTAATGTCACTGTAGTAATAAACTGGCTAAAATTAAGCACCGGCTTTATTAAGAATATGATATAAAACTGTCTGGGAGCTTTGCAAATGGAGAAGCTTGCCTTATGCATATTTTAGCAGAAATAAAACAATGTTTTAATTAGCATTTATTATTTCAGAATATGATTTTTGGCATAATTTTCTATAAATTCCAGAAGGCTATTGTAAGATGTTTGTTAATGGTATCTTTTAACATAACAGCTTACCAGGTTTTGCCAGAAATTTAATATTGACTGAGACATGCTTCTTTGTGACCGCTGTATCATGACTTCTTATGAATTGCATACGACCAGTGTTCTTGTCACTGTCTCTGTCTGCACTCTTCTGGTCTGAAAATCCTGATCTCCTTGTTCAAGACTGCGGTTCCTGAACTGGAGGTGGTAGGGAGTGTCTGGGTATCAAGTACCAAGTTATAGTATGGTGTGTGATTGTAAAACATTGTAATCCTTTGTAAAAGAGTTTTGCCACAAGTTACCAGGAGGCAGCTGCTGATTCAGTAGCTTTTTTTTTTCTCCCTGTTTTAAATATTTAATTTTGATAGCAGTGGAAAGTACTATACAGTATATCCTCTAGAATACAGCACAATCCCTTGATTCATGTTACAATTTAGAAGCTGAGGTTTTGTGTAGCTATAATTTACAACATATCAAAGACCTGAACAAAGCTCACACCACATTGCTATAGACAGTGGATAACGTGTTTCCCTGTCCTTTCCAGAGATATATATATAATAAAATTGGATCGTTTCACCAGCTATGCACCAATAATTTTCAGGACACTTCATTTCTCTCGGTTCCTTTTGTCAGTTCCACTCTGATCTTAGTGATCGCATGCAGCATGATTTACACTGAAATTTTTAGGCCATTAGGTGACAGAAATGAGTTATTCATCAACTAACCAAAGGAGCATAGCTGGTACAGACCACTGGGATGCAGGGGACAGTGTTCTTTGAGTTTTGCCTAAAAGCAATCTGTAGGAGTCTTAACTGAAACCATTGAAACCATCATCTGTCTGTGCTTTAGAATCGAGGGTTTCCCTTGGGGAGATGGTAAGTACTTTGTCCATTTTCATTCAGCTTCCAAAGAGGTGGTAATATCTTCTAGAGCTAGCAGGTAGTATTATTAAGCATATACTTTGTACAGAAGGTTGAACGCTACAGGTGTTTAGATGTAACAGACAATTTTTATTTCTTTTCTTCAGGAGATTAAATGTTTGTCGGGATTTTGTCTCTCAGTTAAATAATGGCAGAGCAGATTATGTCAGGACTTAACCTAGGTAAGTGGAGTTTGATATTTGAAAACGTGTAGCTGGCTGAAATTCGTGACAGCAAAAGCAAGTTGTATTTATCTAGAGTTTATTCTAAATTTAGGAATTCTTACTTGAATCGTCTGCTCAGCCTCCATGAGCAAACTTGATATTTAAGATGCATTTATTTTGGGATAATGACATCAGTAACAGGGCCTGGTCTAATATAAAGGTGTGGGTAGAAAAACAGCCGTTAATCAGCCTAGTTGCAAAATGTCTCTGCTGAGATGTAGTTGTGTTAAACTTTATGTGAGTTCCTTACATGTCATGTACATGACTGTGTGTTACTTTCCCACCAAAATGTAACAGCACTCTCTGCAATGAGTAGACCTGAAACCATGCCAAAATTTTAGGACCCCTCTCCTTTTCAAGTAGAAGGGGTCAGAAACCATGGAACAGAATTGTCACATACTTGGCATAATTTAGGAGGACTTGTAACAAATGACTGATAATAGCAATGCCTGCAAACATCCTTCTTCCCCTATGGGTAGCCCTGTGGATCCATGCTTTTTATCATAAGCTAGAGTCTACTTGCCTTTGTCTTGCTGCGAGATCAGAGTAGATCCATTGGCCTGAGTAGGGCTGCACTTCATGAAATTCTAAATTCCTTTAAAGCTGCATTATGATGAGATAAGAGGGTACTTGGTGTCAAGGCTAATCGTTTAACTTAAGCCAGCATGGTCTTAAGTGGTGAGTGATTTACACCCCTTTGTTACCATAGTGGTGTCAGTGCTGTAAGGGAGCTAGAGTACAGGTCTGTACCTTATGGTCGAGGTTCAGCATGCAGACGCTGTTCGTATGGACAGGGAAAATGTTAATGTGCGGCTCAGGTTTTGGGGCAAACAGGGATGTCACAGGAGCTGGGGAGATAGCAGTAAGAGGGCTGGAAGATGGAGGACTGAGTGAAAAAGAACATACAGAAAAGACTGGTATGTGGATATGGCCATGGAGAGTTGTGTCTGAGATCGTGAATGTAATAATAGTACTGGATGTGGAAAGATGTTGCTCTGTTTAGTGCCGCCAGACATCAGCAGTGAAAGAATTTGAACTATAAGTCACATAAAAATTAATAATAATAATAGCACATGTTTCTGAAAGATTTTCTCCACTGACAGGTATGATGCCTTGGGAAAGCCGATCCCTTTACCTTATTTACGTGCAGGCTCTGTGGTAAATCAGGACCTGAAACGGCCTGCCCATTTGAAGTTGTTAAAACTTTCATAAACTAAGTCTAAAACTTGAGAGTAAGAAATCAGAATGTCTCCAAGTTGGATTTTTAAGATGGATTATATCTGTGGTTATGTACTTTGGCTCTAGAAAACGTCTTTTGATGTCTAACAGGTATATCCAGTCGGAGCTGCCTTTCTTTGCTCCTTTTTTCCAGGCCCCTCAGCCACTCGGGGAGGGAGGAAAGGGCGGGAAACAATCCTTTCGGTTCGACTCGAGGAGGGGCAGGGACAAGCTCGGAGGATTGATGCTCGCGGAGGCATGTGAGACACTGGGGCTTCTGCGGGGCGGAAGAGGCCACCACAGTGTATTTTGAAATGCCGGCGTTGTCTGGATAGGGAATAAAGTCAAGTGCCTCCAGCAGTAGGGGTGGGGGAGCGGTGTGCCAAAAGAAAGATGGAGGCTGCTGAGGGAGAGGTAGCACGCCAGGACAGAGGGGCTCCGTCTCCCTCGGGCGCTGCCGCCGGGCACCGCCGCACCGAGCCGGCTGCCCGGGGCTGGGGCGCTGGCCCTGTCGGTCGCGTCAGAGCGAACCGCACGGCTCCTGGCAGCAGTCTCTTCTCTTTTATTTATTTTTTTAAATGTATTTATTTTTTCCATCAATGGTTTTCCAACCATTAATTTTTCGACAGGCACCGAGGCGAGGCCCCGCCTGCCCTGGAGGCGGAGGCCCTGGCGCGGCGGGCCCGGGGAAAGGGCGGGCGGCCGGGGGCGTCCTGCGCACGTGACCGGCGGCCGGCCAATGGGGCGA